GTAGTATGGTGTACATTTTAGGACATATTTAGTCTCAGGAAATCTTGACTAATCAAGTAAATATTTTAGTTTTATAAAGCTACATTCTCGCCTAATCCTAAAAGTTTAGGGCTCAGACCGGCTAACTTTGGCTCCTGAGATCTGAGGATGTCCTATAATGTGCTCTGGAGGGCAGGGGGGGGATTTACCACTAGGCAATACTAGGCAGTTGCCTTGGGCCTCAAGTTCCTGGCTGCCCCATAAAACTCCTTTTCCATGTAAGGTTAATACAGCTATCACTTATTTGGGCACATTATTTATGTTTTTGATAAAAAATACTTTTGCTAAAATGCCATCAGAATGTTTATAATATTAAGACCTTCAGTGACAAACACAAGAAATGTGATCTTTTTTAGTGTTGCTCTTACGAAACGCAGGCCTTCAGAGAACAGCTAGAGTTTTACTAAATATAAAGCAAAGGAGGTCCTTGTTTACTATGCCAGATTAGATTAAAATGTATCAGAGGATCAGATTTCTTTGTATGAACATATCAAACAATTCCCCATAATGCAATGCGTTGTGTTTGTCTATGAGCTACAATCTCTGTGGTTTTAATCTGGTAAATATGAAACGTTATGCTTGTATTTATACTTTTGACGGCAACACCTAGATCTCTCTTCAGGACCAGAGAGACTCACAGAAAGCTGAACTCAATATGTTTTGTTTTACTGCGTTAACAGGCGGTGGAAATATTAAAAACATTTGAAAAGAAAGACAGCAGAGTGAAAGGTGTGGCAGCCACTAACCTTACTTCCCTCTATTTCTTGGTAAGTCTCTCTAACTTCGTTAAAACAACAGATTTTTATGTTAAAAATGTATTTTAAGTGATACGCTGGATTTAAATTCAATGAATGGACAGAAGTCTTGATTCAGCAGTTTTTATGTTTTACAGGAGAAGGACTACGAGCAGGCGGAGCGATACGCTGACCTGGCTATTAACACTGATCGTTATAGTCCAGCTGTACTTGTCAACAAGGGAAACATGGTGTTTGTCATGAAGGACTATGAAAGGGCTGCTGAGTTCTACAAAGAGGCACTGAGGAATGACTCCTCGTGCACTGAGGCGCTCTATAACCTGGGTAGAGTTTATGTTCAGCTATTTGTAACTGTCAAACAGTAACTGCTGACTCATTATCACACGAACAAAGTATTTTTGAGCATAGCTGAAGCAGAAAAAGAAGTTTGATAGTAAAGTTTGGTCTGTTTTTACTGAGATTCTGTCATGTTGGACGGTTGGTGTCTTAGCATGGTTCCTACACAATCTGGAGATATCTTTTCCTTTACTCTTTAGATTGAATTAGGTAAGAAAAATAAATCCATCCATCCATGCAGTTTTTTTTCCCCCAAACTGTCGCATGCTTATCAACTTTACATCCATCAGTTATCCTTTCACATCCTTCTTTTTGCTACCATTTTATTATACTTAGGGACCTCTTTGCCCTGTAAATAAAGGTGAAAACCACATATTAATACAAGTTGTAAGAAAAAGAAAGAAAATAAAAGGTGGAACATTGAAAAAAAAACACAAAGATGTAAATCTGAGTTATAATGTTAATGTTTAGCAATACCAGCGTTTAAAGTCTTTAAATATTTTTGTATTACCAGAGTCTGAGATTGTTTCTAAAATGTTTTATGACATTTATACAACACATAAAATATGTTTCTTCTTTTTGTTATTTTGCTTTTGTTAATATATGAAACTTTTCTAAGAATAGAATCAGATTTATGTGGAAAAAAGCAGATCAATCTTTCGAGGTAAAATCTGTAAAACCAAACAGAACATTTTAAAAATACAAAAGAAGATTGGATTTAATATTTTTAGATATAACAGCACACTTCTATCAAATATCCCTCAGTCCATCTATCCTGGTTCTATGTTTAAAGGCCGATTACTGTCAGAAGGTTATAGTGAAATGTTGTATATTTAAATAATAAATTGTACCCAAAAAAAACTAAGAACTCATAATTTCCCCTTTTGCCTCATGTAGGTTTGACCTATAAGAGACAGAGCAGACTGGAGGAGGCTTTAGACTGTTTCCTGAAGCTTCATGCCATTCTGAGGAACAGCTTCCAGGTCATTTATCAGCTGGCCGACCTGTATCCCAGTCATGACACCTGTGATGGTTAATTAATCAGCCACTGTTGCTGAGGCTTTATTCTGTTTGTTAAACTAAACCTTTGATATCCGTTGGCCCTTGACCTCCTGGCTTCAGCTACGAGATGCTAGAAGATCCTCAACAGGCGATCGAGTGGCTGATGCAGGTCACGCCCACAGATCCACATGTACTGGCCAAACTGGGAAAGCTGCACGACGAGGAAGGGGACAAGTCCCAGGCTTTTCAGTGCTACAATGAGGTGAGAAAGGAGACTTTTTTTTTTTTTATTCCCCTCTCTACACAATAAATAACAAAGGTTAAGTTTTCAGGCTACATTGGTGTTAAAAACACTCCCATGCTGTCGGACTGTTGTTCAGTCTTTCAGGTACTTTCCGTCAAACGTTGATGTGATCGAGTGGCTCGGGGCTCACTACGTGGAGACCCAGTTCTGTGAGAAGGCCATCCAGTACTTTGAACGAGCAGCTCTCATACAGTAAGTTAGTATACGTTGAAGTTATGTTTTAGATTGTACTTTTGTCCCCAGTACCATATATAGAATCAGAAAACATAAAAATATCTTCTAAAGTAGTTCTAAGACATACTTAAAAAAGACATAAATATGAATCTACATATAAGATTTAATAATTGATTGATCCCAATAAATCGCATTTTAATCAAAAATATTATATTAACCAAATAAACAACATTTTCGAATGCTTCAATTTGCTTATAAATTATTGCATAAATTGACTTTTCAAGCCCAGAAACACACATTTTTATTCTTTCCAATTAATTGTTTTTATTCATTATTTAGACTATAAACCCATCAAATCAATTTTAGTTATTATCATTTCATTTTATCCAGTCCGCTTTATTTATATAGCACATTTTATAAAGAGGGGCATTTTCAATGTGCTGCACAGTTAAGAAAAAACAAAAACATATAGGCAAATACAGAGCAATCAGTAGTAAAAAAAATAAAATTAATTAATACAATAAAATACAGAGAGTAGAAATAGGTCTTAAGACGGGACTTAAAATACTCAAGTGTTGTGGTTGTTTTAAGTCTAGCCTATGGACCATAAGTTGGATCTGGCTCTCTGACCTCAGAGTGTATAGAGGTCAGTGATATCCTGTGGGGCCAGCTTATTTAAAGCTTTGAAAACAACAAAATCTTAAAATCAACCCTTAATCTTTTATAGGGCACTCATTGAAATACTTTGAAAATCAAAACTTCACTCCAATAGTGTTATTGTAGGACAGGACAAGACCTTATTACTTTTGTAACATTCAAAAAATAACAAGAAAGCACACTTGCCGTAATATATTAAGAAAGAAATAACAAAAGTGCTTCTATAAGAAATTAATGAAAAACACAAAGTGAAAGAAACACAATTTTTTTTTGTTGCAACAGCCACATTTTTTTTAACTTTTTTTTAACTCGGCTTTTAACTTTTTAACTTTACTTTGTAAGTGTACAACTAGCTTTTTAACTTTTCCCTTAGCTTTTTACCTTTTTTCTTAACTTTTTTTTCAACTTAATTGACAGTAGGTAAATTATTCAAGGCCTTAGCTAACAAGTTAAATGGGAAAATAGAATCTGCATCCACATAGTATTGCCTTAGCTGAATGGGTAGATATAAATCTTTTACTTCTAGACCTTGAAGGGATGGGGGACCCCATTTGTAAGGGGTATGCAAGTGATAAAAAACGGTAGGGTTAAACTGAACAGGCAGCCAGTACAAAGATGCTAAAATAGGACTAATTTGCCAGAATTTTTTTTCCAGTTAAAAGATGAGCCGCAGTGTTCTGGGCTAACTGCATGTGTGGAAGAAAATTGTGACATATTCTGAAATAAAGTGCATTTTAGTAATCCAGGCGGGTCGAAATAAAAGAATGCCGTAGTTTAAAGATATGTTTAAAGATAAATAACGATTTGACTTTAGCTAAAAGCAAAAGGTGATCAAATTTGGACGCTCAAACTGCATTAATCTGTTGAAATTAAAATCTTCTTAATGTATATCTGTTTATCTATCCGTTATTTAGGTTATCCATCCATCAGATAGGTTGAAAGTCACAAGCGTTTAGCTTTGTTTAGGAACCCTTGATATTTTATACAACTTCCTTTAAAAAGTATATTTCTTTAGAAGTGTTGAACCCCCATTGGATCGCTAATTGCTGCTGCTGTGTGTGGGTGTGTA